TCTAAAAAACTGTTTATTCGTTAATAAGAAACATCTAAAAACTGTTTATTCGTTAATAAGAAACATCTAAAAAACTGTTTATTCGTTAATAAGAAACATCTAAAAACTGTTTATTTGTTCTTCAGCACAAAGCTACACAAGGAACTATCTGTCCACCGTGGGTATCGAAATCCAATTTTTAGCGTGATAAGCTCTCAAAGTTACTATTGAGCCACAAGCTGCTAACATAAACAAATCTAAAGATATTTTTAAACGTGATTTAGTCTATTCACAATTATATCATTGTTGAAATTTCATTACCAAAATATTACAACCCAGGGCGTTTATGATGTTTGTGGTTTGTCAAATAATAAACGTAAATGGCTGAACTATTTAAAAATAATAATAATTAAAAATGTCGTATAGAGTGAATCAGGCAAACCACAAGCGTTAAACCACTTAGTCTATTGCAGTTTTAATTCTTTAATTCTATTTCATATTCTTACATATTACACAGTAGTATAAAATAATTTGTAAACGAAGAAAAAAAAATCACACATTTTAGAAAGCTCAGCAATAATCACAAGATAGAAACGATGGTTTCCCATTCCTTCATTTTTCACAAATTTCTAGATTGTTGCATAAACATCATGTAAATTCATTTGTACAAATAGAAAAATTAATCTGTGTATAACATCTTCATTTCTCAAAATACGTCAACATAAACTTGCAATTGTGATTTTTTTTTTATTTACTCTTTATTAGGTTTGAGACTCAAAAGATGGAAGTTGAAAATCGCAAATAAAACTCGACATTTTATTTCAGTAGTATTCCACGGTTCTTAGAAAAAAATCACTTACCCTAATCACTTCGGATTTTCTATAGTTAATGCTATACTTAGTAGCCAATTAGTAGATCTATATGAGAGGAGAAACCGCAAAGTTAATGCCTTGCGATGTTTAGATACAGGCAACGCAAGTGATTACGTTATGGCCATATAAAAATAAAAGACTTTAAAGCCATTTTATCATTTCTGCTTTAAGAAGGCGTTATCATACAACATTTTATTTTATTACCTTTGCCTTTTTCGTTTCTGTGAAAAATATATTTACAAAACAAAATACGTCTGAAAATTACTTACCAGTGAGCCGTACCCCCAAGAATAAAGTAGAGAGAGCAGACAGGAGATTAGAACATTACTTACCTGCGAGTCTTACCCCAAGAATAAAGCAGAAGAAAATTCCCCTACGTAAAGGGCAGCTTAGCTCGAATCTCATTTCAGGTGTTATCCTCTTGTAATTGTGTTTTAGCTTGAATGTGGGGAATGTAGCCGATTACATCCTGCCTCTCTCTCACACACACATAAAATGAAGCTTTTCAGTGTGTGTTCTTAGCAATCTCACTATTCCTTCTTATAATATACTATATGAGCAGATGAGGAAGAATTCAGTCTACAAGTTTCTCTCTGACGCCTCCACAGAATCAAATGACGGTGCCGTTTGTCCGGTTTTATCACAAATTGTGGGAATTTTGAAGAATATACGGTTTTCATCTATCTTGGAGTAAAGCGCCATCTGTCGAAGTTCAGTGTAATCCTCCGCCCACCTGTTTTGAATATGAACAAGGCGAACGAATCGTGATGAGTTACTCTATTCTGAAATATATCACGGAACGTAAGTGCAAATATAGACTATGAATTAGAAAGCACCAAGTGCATGTATCCTTCGTTAAAATATTATAGTTTTGCGGAATGATTGAGACGAGGAGTTAGTATTACTAATGGTATAATTATTCGGATTATTATTCTCGTCTTTATTATGTGTATTATTATTATTTTCATAACGCTTCGACCAGTGAATTCTCCGGCCGTCGTTAGGTGTTATATCAGACATTTTTGTATGCATCACAACCAGAAAGCTTTTTGTGGAATTACCATTATTCGAAACGCCGAACCTATGATCCCCAATACCAGTACTCTAACGACGTTGTGAAAATAATAATACACATAATAAAGACGAGAATAATAGTCTGAATAATTATAATACTAGCTTTGGGTTTTCTGATTTCTGGTTCAGTATTAGACTACAACCAAATCATGTTTATTACGTCCTATGAACTGATCATGAACTAACAATTCTGAAATAACGCAATCTTTTAAAGTAGTCCAGAAGCTCTTATAGATATATAATTGCAGTGTTAAACTAACATAAAATTAAAGATTTTGAAATGTCGTATTTATAAATTGTTTTGATGCAAATAAAGATACCACGCTACATTAAAGGGGGGTATAAACAATATATACCAAAATACATATTGTTGACAATATAGAAACGTGTGGGACTTTTGTGACAAATTATATTGATACCCCAGTACAGTTTTACACAGGAATTTCGGACACTACTCTAGTTTATAAAACGTAATCTAATTTTTTAGTATTAATAACTTAAATATATTCACTATTAAAATATTCATTTCCACGTTTATGTTTGGCGTGTATAAATTTAATCAATACCTGCCTATTTGCGTTGGAACTTTAAAGGTAGAATGAGTTAAGGTTAACAAACGTTAAGAAATTGGATTAGCGGAGTTTTGAAGACCTTGAATTTCATTGTATGGTGCTTATTTTTATTTTACAATGTGATTTAAAAACTGTTTTATTTTATGATCTACACGATAATATCTTAAAATTCTAATCAAAGGCCTCAAGTGAAATCAAAGTCGTAAGTAGAAATAAAAATATTAATTACAAAAAGCGAATCATGTTATTTAGCGAAGTAAAGAAGCAGGAGTATGCAATACTTCAAATATACAAAAACTTTATACGATGAAAAGAAGTACTCTGTCGTAATTCAAAGTAAACTTGATAAATCGGATAAACAGAGTAAAATTTAATGAAAGTACAACGTTTGACCAGGTTTCAAAAACTTTGAAATTTAAATAACATTGGGATTATTTTCTTAATTGTTTTTATAAAACAAATGCGCTACTTCTGATATTTGACGAGTAAAAAGATTTTCATTTCTTTAAAGCGTCATCTGACCTTATTAACCTGTTGTTGACCGACAAAATGGTTGTATTGTGTGTGCTATTGCGTCGGCAAATATTGGAATACAAATTGTTCCAAGTAGCTCCGGCTCCACGATTTTTTTTTTAACTTCTTCGAGTTTCTTCTATACATTTTTCCTGGCATGAAGGGTTGTAAATCAAAACATTCAATCAGGGTATTAAATGTTGTAATGGATTTATAACTTCAGAGAAATTCAATGAAAATGTTGTTGATTGAGGTATTTTTGGTGTATGTAGATAACAAAAAAGAAATGTGTCATCAACGTACCTACGGGAATCCAGTTGTCAAGATGTTGGCCAAAATAGAATCTCATGCTGATAACATCCATTTTACCATAGAAAGTTCCGCTGAAAAGAAAGTGTATTTTTTATGTAGCAAAGAACAATAATCTATGGAAATCTATGTTCTGTAGGTATGAACAGAAAATTCATAAAATTTTGTATGTTTATTTTTGGGAAAGGTTTTTCGTAGTCTGTTAGTTTTTTTTTGTTTTTTTTTGTCCTCCCCGGTGGCTAAGCGGCAAGTCTGAAGCCTTATAACCTTAAGAACTGGATTTTGATACCCGTGATTGACACAGCACAGGTAGCCCATTTTGTAGTTTTGGGGCTTGACAACAAGCACACAAAAACAAACTGTTAGCATTTTAAATAAATGATGGTTCTTGGATACTATACAGGAAAAAAATAATTCAAATTCTGGAAAAAATAGGAAGAAATGTCTGCATATGATTCTCTGTAACTGATGTCAGTGGATTATTTTATTCATGCTATATTTATTAAGTGTAACTACTTTAAAATAAAAAAATATCTTTCAAATGTCACACGAACAATACAGAGAAAGTACAAATTATTTTCTAAGTTAACATGACCGGTTGTAACCGTGCTGGGCTGCGGAACGCAACATCCAAGGATTGAGCTTGCAATATGCTCATGAACACGTTATATACTTTCGTCTGTGGGTGTGCTAAAATTATGACAGTTAAACCTTTTATTACAAGTAGCCGCATAGGTGGCGGGTGTTATTGACTGGCTTCCATCCCTCTGGTTAGCAATTCTAAATTATGAAAAAGTAAAATTAAACCTTGGGGTATTTGTTCTGGTCGTTTGGGCTATGTGTTGTGGTATTTGCAAGCCCACTGATCTTCTACAGGTAAATGTAATACCCGCTCAAAATGAGAGATCCGACCGAATTCTAGCTTGATACAATTCACTCAGTAGACGTGTGTACGGAGATGAGAGATGAACGCACTTCTATCCAAATGGAGTGAGATCTACCAAAATCTGAATACACGTCTGAAAGAATAAAAAACCTGTGTCACCTGGTCATTCCATTATTAAAAAAAAAGGGGGGGGGAGGAAGAAGGGGTCTTCACGCACTTCTAAACATTTACACGACTGATACTACCACGAAACACTTTAATATTGGTCTAAGGAATTATCCAGGGACATCTTCGGTTTGAAAGTCTAAAAAATACCAAAGGGGAATGACGCATGGCAGTTTTTAATTAGCACAAGATTAAGGACACCGTATTCCAAAGTTGGTTATCTGCATGCTATAGATTTAACATGTGCACCAAACGCGTGTAAGTGCAAAAACATTTGTAAATTTGTTGAAAATGAAATGATCGCCTTTATAAAGGAAAATGAAAAAAAATACACCCAGCATTTTTTACTTTTCACGTAAGGAGTCGTTCAGGTTTAAAGTGCTAAATTCCACACCTTACAGAGTATGAAAAAATAGTTCTAGCTATATGACATAACATTTTATGATACTAGAAGTTTAAAATGAAAAGGCTGTTTTTCATGTGAATCCCTTTCTTCATAGCGCAATACTTTCACAAAACGGCAAAACGTTGGAATTATTTTGTTTACAGATTAGAGGTATTGTTATAAGCATCTTTCACACGTGTCAAGAACTGAAATTATCATATAAATGTTGTTTAATTTTTACTGAACGTAATAAAGATTTTACATAGAGAAAGTTATGTTAAAAAGTTTTATAAATGAATTTTATATAAAATACTATAAAGTCTTTTGTATTCAAAATGACCCCACTTACAAAAGATAATCTAAATAGAGGTTATATATTAGACAATTGAAATAATTATGGTATTTGTAGGCCAACTAAACTTCTATAGGTAAAAGTAATACCCGCTCTAAATAGAGATCCGACTGAATTCTAACCCGAAACAATCCAGTTATAACTAGAAAAGGCATAGATTCTGAATAGAAATTTGACAAAAATCAGTCTCAATGATTCACTTTGCAAAATTTTCGACGTAGAGTTGTATCTAAGGTACACAATTAAAATTGTTCCTTTAACAACTGCTCCCACATTTAAACTTGAATTCATCCTTTTGTTAAATTCCTAGTTCGCAAATGAAAAACTATAAAAAAATGACAATACTTTAAACGACGATGTTCAGTTTTCCTCACACTTTAGAAAGGCGTAACATTTGAAATATTGAGATTTGTGCTACTATAAATAAATAATCGCTAAAACACTGATATATCACTGATACTTGATACATTCTAGAATCTAGTTCGTCTCAAGGTGCATTGAACGTATATCTCGCCAACACAAAACATATCATAGATAAAAATTAACTGTTGTGTATAACACATTTGCAGGTACACATTTAAAGTTACTTTCTACACTTTAGTCATGGTTTACTTTCTACATTTTATTCATGGTTTACTTTCTACGCTTTATTCATGGTTTACTTTCTACGCTTTATTCATGGTTTACTTTCTACACTTTATTCATGGTTTACTTTCTACACTTTATTCATGGTTTACTTTCTACACTTTATTTATGGTTTACTTTCTACACTTTAGTCATGGCTTACGAACCTTTATCATTTTTAAATCCTTGTTTGTTATCTGTTAATGAAACTGCCTTGTTTTGTGTATCGGAGGGTCTTTCTTCTTCAACATTTTATATCTTTTTCTCAACATTATTTAATAATTTTCTCATGTATCAATATTCTTTTTCATAAAACCTTGAGACACAACATTCCTCCAGATGTAACTGATCTGCAGTGGTAGCATTTCATTATCGAATACCTGGAAACAAAATACAATGCTAAAGAAAGAAGGGAAAAATATAGGTTTCTGTGCTCTTGTTAGATAGGGCATAACTACCGTTATTAAGCAATAATAATGATACACCTATGTTTAACTTTATGCAAACCAAGTGTTAGGTGACCAGTCATATAATCTTATGCGCAAATATATACTGCAGGAGTTCATGTCTTCAAATGCATGTTTGATACTATAGGCTTTAGTATCTAATAAATGAACACTAATATAAGCCGTAAACCGATATGGCATATTTAAACTCAGTGAATCAACGAGAAGCTGGTTTAATATCGCCCATAAGAGCCGATTTCAGTTTATTAGCACTACTTGGAGTAGCTCACGTGCGGCCATGTTTCTTCTCATAATACACCATATAACTTAAATTGGATTTGGAACCAGTGAAAGAGATGGTTATTCTATTTTCTGAATATCCATCCACACCTGCATATAACAACACTGATAGTCATAAGACATCATTTTTATATCGAATGACATTCGTAGTGCCATGTCGTAGCAAATAAAGTTCAGTGTGGCAACGCAACCAGGGTGAATCTGTGCCTAGCCCACTATGTCTTTCTGCGTGAAAATTGTCGTTTGAAAAATTCAAATCTTTTTTGACACCAGTAAAGATGTTTTTGGCGACAGACTAGAATAACGTACAGCATTAGTCATCTACATAAAAACTAACCTTATTAAGCCTGTTTCTGACCGCTTACGCGTGGCTTTGACGTCTACTGCAGCTCTGTTGACTTGTTTGTCAATATTTTACACCACACAAGAGTTTAAACATTATTTTGAAACAACCCCTTAAATTTTCGAAGACAAGAACAAATTAAGTCTAATTGTTTAACACTCATGGTCTAAAGCTAAACTTCTTATATTTTAGCGGTTTATAATCTGTGCTTAAAACTGAGGAATAATTTGTTATAAGTGTACATTTACACGCTCTATTCCATTGTATGTCTCTACTCCCCAGATTACCCAGCGATAAGCTAGAGGTCTCATAACCCTAAAATTAGGGTTCGATACCAGCGGTCGGCAGAGCGTATATAGCCCATCGTGTGAGAAATATTTGTACCGAAGTTTATAAATAAGCATAGTTTACATACAATGTAAATTATATAAATTCAAGTTTATAAAAAAGTGGCCTAAAATAAGACATTTCCATCCCTAAAATACTATACCAAAAATGCAAATTGTCACACAGAATGTTAGTGCATACAAATTAATTTTCATTTTCTGGTATAGTTACCACAATTTATTATAAGTTTACAAATTAGAAGATTTAAGCTCCCGGTGTTGTAGTCAAAACTATAAATTATACAATAGTTTATAACAAAGATAATTTTTACATAAGAGCTTGCCCAAATTTTACGTGTACCAAGTGTTTCAATGTTAGTCACTGATAATAGCGACACTTCCCACTCATAAAATAGTAAATCGTATGCAACAGTAGTTTTGTATGAAATGAATCTGCTTCGTACCTATTGGAGTGCTACTGTAGTGTCAATATGAGTGATATTGTAGTGTCTATTGACACTACAGTATCACTCATATTGACACTACAGTAGCACTCCTATTGACACTACAATATCATTCATATTGACGCTACAATTTCACTCATACTGACACTACAATTTCACTCATACTGACACTACAATATCACTCCTATTGACACTACAATGTCACTCTATTGACACTACAATATCACTCTATTGACACTACAATATCACTCCTATTGACACTACAATAGCACTCTATTGACACTACAATATCATCTCATTTTTCAATTTTGAGAGGTTAGTGCTTTTCAATTGAAAAACGATATCATCGTCTTTTTAACTTCTCCTGAACTTAAAAATATCTTTAAAATTAGTTCATCAGCAAAGTTTAACGTTAGGCACTAAACGTGTATCTTGAATACATATTTTGTTAGTTTAGGAATGTAACACACACATATATATATATATACGCATCTATGATCTCCATACTTATTTAAATGAAATGTAGTTTATTTCTTTAACAATCAATGGAACGCTTCCGAACACCAGTCATATTTCAAGAACATATTTATCGATTTATCGCTTCATGAACAAAAAGTACAAAGAATACTGGCATTCATGCTATTTGAAGTTTCCTTAAGCATTAGTTCCAAAAAAAATTCGAGAACTTTTTGTGACTGTTTCGTAATGATAAAGATAGTTTTTCGTCAGTATTAGTTTAGTGGTTGAAATTCGTTGATTGAAAAATAAGTATATTTCATTTAT